GCCTTGCCTGCCTCACACTGCGGGTAGCCCATTTACTGCGATTTCACATAATATTGAAACCAGTGTTAACTTATGTCACCGTACATTTAATTAAGAAACAAAAACAAACAAGAAAAATATACACGCTGCCAGGCGGGGGGCGGGGGCGGGAACGAAAAATAAAAGGGAAAAGTAAACCGAGCCGGTGTCTCGAGGTAAGGAGCAAATTACCTGGCTTGTCCTCTAAAGAGAATAAACTTATCCTTTCCTTCCGGTACCGCTGCGCGGCGCGCCGCCCTGCTGCGCACCTCGCCCTGCAAACTCGATTCGGAGCGGGAACGAACCTCATACTCATAAGGTACGGCAAAAGGGTGCGGCCCAAGCGCGGCCGGCCCCCGCCCGGCCCAGCCCCACGGTGGAGACACATAATAACCAGCACCAACTTTCTCAAGGCAAATCTCCCCTCCCCTTTCCCCGTTCCACTTCCCTTTTCTCTCTTACTCTCCTCTCACCCGCGCTCTTAGTTTCGCAGCGAAGCGCCCCGTCGGGCGGCGGCCCAGCAATGGCAGCAGTAGCCCCCCACCGCCCCCCACTGCTGCACCGCTGTCAGAGAAATAATAAGTGACTCTGCCAAAAATGTGTAATGCAGAATACGTCACAAGTTTGTGATGCAGTGCCGTAATTAAAGAGCAACAAGCCGCCCTGCTCCTCTTGAAGTGTAAGCAGCAGTGTAGTAAAGGAGGAGCAGTGCGAGAGAGAAGAGGGGGCGGGGGACACTTTACGACAACCACCATTGGGTGTGTTCCTCCCGACCCACTCCAGGAGCTGAGACACTCGGGTACGCGCGAGCCGAGCTCGTCGAGGAAGCCACCAGACCACCTCGCCCCGCCCCACTCGCCCGCTCCGCCACGCCCGAGTCCAGTCAGGTCCAGCAGAGGTATGGGGCCCGGGCCCCTGGGGAGGCACTGCTCACGCATTGGCAGCGGGGCAGACCAGGCCGACCCAACCCCATACCGGAAAGTTGTCGGCGGCGACCCCACGTACCCCTCAGGAGGAGAAGGAGGAAGGGGGGGGGGGCGTCCAGCAGGCTAGGCCGCGGGGGGCCACTGGGTCACGAGGGTCATGCATATCGATGTTTGGTACGGTCCTGGAGGTGCGTCCTTGCGCATGTGAGAGTGTGTGTTGTGTGTAGCCGGGGCTCACGCCGAGGGCTTCGGGCCGGCAAAGGACAACGTTTGTTCAATCAGGAATGGATTTGGTGGGAAAGGGCCGGGGTCTGTACTGGAGATGAGGTGGGTCGGGGGCGTGCTGCAGGGTGCTGGCACCCAATTCAGAGGGATGGAAATGAGAGGAAAAATATATATAGGTGGAGAGAGAAGAGAACGGGGGTTGGGGCTGTTCGAGGGTGGGGGGAGAGGGGGGTTAAGAGAAGGGGCATACACAGAAAGAGTGGGTGGAAATGAAAGGAAAGAGTGCACGGCGATGAGGGTGCAAGGGAGCCTGGAGGGCCCTCCTGGCCGACAGCCCACCTCCTCCTGTGGCGGGGCGTGGCGGGCGCGGCGGAGGGTGGGCTGCTCGGCGAGCGCAGCGTATCTTGGCGTGGGAGCTGGCGAGCAGCAGGCCCGTTACTTCGCCTAATCACTTGCAGCTGCCCGGCGCTTCATACCAGAGGATCTATACACGCACTGCAAAAGCTCCGTCGCAAAACTAGCGTGCCATTTTGGATGCCAAATAGTCTTATCCTAAGGTTATAATCTCCAATTTTTGGCCCTCTTTCTAAAAGAAGGCTGGGCTGCGTTATTCCCAACAAGAGATAAATTTTTGATGCCGTTTACAACCACGCTGTTGCTGCTCAGCTGTGTTTTAATGGTGTTGAATGTCGTTGAGAGGAAAACAACATGTCGTCATTATACTAAATGGTGAAAAGCAACACGTCCGCAAAAGTCAGTACATACGAACAACGTGGCTATTACTTTTACAACAACGACACAACTCTCGCAGTGGGTCGGTCTCTCCTGAATCACAGTCGAACTGGCACCGCCGCTGTTATTTCACCGCCGCCGCAATAACAGCTCGCGGTAGGCATTTCACACGGGCGGGGTGAGGCGGGGTGTGGCGGGGTGGGGCGGGGCGGGGTGAGGCGGGGTGAGGCAGGGTGAGGTGGGGTGAGGCGGGCCTGCCATCCAGGTGAGAACCCCCCTCGGAATTAAGGCAAAAGGGGAGGGAGGGGCCACCGCCCCGCGATCTCATGAGACCGGGACATGCAAGACTGAGGGGG